GAGGTTTAAGAAACGTAGCCTCGCGTAGCGCGCTAAAATCACTGTACTCGTTTACTTTCTTTTTTCGACTTGCGCGACGGACTTCGCCGAAAAAAGGGACTGCTAGTAGTTTAAAAGTCCTCGAAAGTTCAGAGCAACCGACTAGTGATAAGATTATGTCGGTGTTTTCTGTATGTATTTCTATTAGTGCGGTCTACAGTTGATGATAGAGATTAGAGAAATCTAGCGGAAATGTAAATTTTTAAGAAAGAGTTTTGCAGCTGAAAGCTTTAAAAATACACAGTGCATTGAAGCTAATACTTCAAAACAAAAAACCAACGAACCTGATTTGAATCGAAAGTCTGCTTTTTTTTTTAAGCAAAACCAAAATACTAAAGACTAAAAAATGAAAAAAAAAAGGCAGAAGAGACGGGAGACAAGGACGTTGAGGAGAAATTCATTGTTCTAGACAACAATACAGTCACGACTTATCGTAATTCGACGTGTAAAGAGTAAAATTGTGCGGAAACTGACCTCAAAAAGACGAAAATTACTTTGGGGAAGCCTAAGGTTCACAAGTTATTGAGGGTAAAGTTACTATAAATTAGCTGGGATTTCCATCGAAAAATATTTTGGGTGTTCGCAGTTGACCACGCCTGTAATAATTTGATCCAAATTAATCAAGTTCTGTGGTGGCACGGATCAATCGAATTTTTGAACTTTGCTCAAATCTTTCATATAAATTGAAACGATAGCCCCAAAGCTAGCCCTGATTGGTACTTGAACCAAAAAACATTGGTATCGTTTTCGTTGCTTTTCCAGCGAAACTTACACTATTCCTTCATAGTCTTCTTAACGTTTTGCTCATGTTTTTTTCTCCTTTCAAGCCCATATTTTTTGGTCGATAAAACAAACGCAGGTCAGCCTTGGAGCAAACAATTCACTAGGGGCAAGCCGGGTTTGTCTGAAGTGTAGCTACATGATAAATATGTAATAAGATCAGCAGATGGAAAAACGGTGATATAAAATGGCTCACAGGACAAACCACTCGCGCTGGACGGGGTTCGTGTAATGTTTATAAACAGATAGAATTGTCTCGTGAGAGTACATTGCCTTCCGACGCGTGACGATCAAACGGAAATGTGATGACACCAAATAGCTCAATGAACAAAATACATGATGTATTGAAAGCTGGCAACACGGGTTTGAGTGAAGAGTGTTCTTAAGCACTTCTGGTAGAGATTCAAAGCGGCTAATGATAACAATGACAATGACAATAATAATAATATCAATAATAACAATTATAAGTAATGGTAAAAGGACTGAGTGGAGTCCAATTCGGTCTGTAATCATACTCGTGATAAACAAATGGGACTTCCGCTGCGGTCGTCCGATTTTTTTATCACTCGTATGATTACAGACCGAATTGGTCGACACAAAGTCTTATTATCAATCAATCATAACAATTATAATTTCCGAGAAAAGAAGAATAATCAAGTTACGCACGATCAAAGGGACAATTTGCAAGGAAGGCGTAAATTTTTTTGTGGTTGTTATTAGTTAATTCAAACGACAACTTTGAATGTGATTGGCATTTTGAACTATCCGATAACGAACTTTCCGATAACGAACTTTCTGATGACGAACTTTCCGATAACGAACTTTCCGATGACGAACTTTCCGATAACAACTTGGCAAGTGAATTAGTGGAGAATAGGAGTTTTTTTACACCAGTCACAATTGAGGAAATTATAATTTTAAAACTGTAATAATAAGAATAGTAATAAACAGGTGTAGCTCATGTAGAGGAGCCTATCCGTTCTCCTTTGTCAAAAAAAAAAGGAATCCAAAAATTGCTTTAAAGTTATGCTAAACAAATTATTGGAATTGACCAGGACTCAGAAAACACGTAGTTGAAGTTGGAGGTAGAAGCCAAAAAGAATCGTCGTAATTGGCACGCTGTGTAACCATACAAAATTCAACCCTTACACCGATCTGAGACAAGCGGAGAGGAAATCACGTTATTTTTTCTTGTGGTTAGTCCCATCAGAGGTATAACCCCCCCACGCGTCGATCAGAGGGGAAAAAAGTAGAAGATGCAAAACAGCTGAATTGAATTACAGCAAAGATGCTTTGTTACCGAAGAGAAATTTTAATTAAAATGCTGTTTAAGTCGTTGCAGGCGGATGCCATGTATTGATTAAAAAACAAAAAAGACGGCAAAAAAATTTTCCCTCATCAATTTGAAAATACAACGCTCAGTAATTCCAAGAAAATTAAAGGAGTGCCCCTCCCTCATGACATTTCAAAGATGTATCTCGTGTCGAACATAGGGCAAAATATGAGATCATAAGATCATCTAATGAAGAGAAATTCTACAGAGTAAATAACTTTGCATGCGCTTGTCACGTTAAAACAGGAAAATTTGAATAGTTTGATTTAAATTCTATATCAGTAATGGTGTTCAATAACACATCGTTTGCAAATTTTGTTCATTTGGTCGAAACTTCTCCTTTCCGTTCCGGATGCTTGTGGATCATCTGCTGCTCGATTTTCTTTCTACAACCTCGGTTTTGGTAACGCCTTAATTGTTCGGAACCTCAGGTACTTGTTCGCAGGACTTCCAGCGAGAGGAAAAGAAACAATTTCACTCCTTTGCAACTGTGTGAAGTCACTGGTTTCATTTTTAGAGCTGGTCAGTGTGCTGTAAGAAAGTCCTTGTGTCAATGCAAGAATATGTAGTAGGTCAGTTTGTGCCTGAAAATATCGTTTCATTTTTAACATAGGATCTTTTGCAAGCTACTTCTCTAAACTGATCAGAATGTTCTTGTTCGTTTTGTTTAAAATTCTAAGCTTTCTGGACTAAACATGGTCGACGGGAAAAATGAGTAAATGCCGCGCCCCCTCCCTTTTCCCGTATATTTTCACTCTATGGCTTGGATGGTTTTTTGAGGAAAAAGGCCTGCGATTAAAAATATTTAACGGCTTTCGGCCGGTAAAGGTTCATTTAAAATGAAACGAATTATTGAGTTTATTTGGGAAAGAACTTTTTAACAAAAGTCACATATTCCCCTCCACATCCAGTCCAATTTTATCAGACTAGAAAAAGTTATCCGTTGAAGCCTTAAAATTGATTACGTTTGCTTTCCTTAAAATTATCATGAAATGAAATAACAGTTTCTCGGCCTTACAATATCGATATACTGTCAAGAAGAATAGCAGAGAGAAGAAAGGAAATTTTCAATCTGGGGCGAGATATTTCTTGATTTAACACCAAATGTCTCAGGGCCAAAATCATACGGAATACCACGTTACTGTAGACATACTTATGTTTGGAAAAACATCACGGGACTGCGCGTTACAAGGTATCCGCTTAAAACAGGTTATCTTTCCCAGAAATGGCCCATATCCAACCCCTCTTCATATCATACCCCCGCTTATTATCATTTATTTGTGGTTTAACCTTTTACACCTTAATATCAGATTGCATATTCTCCATACTTTTCTCTATAAATTTCCTTTGGTCGTGACAAGGAGAATTTGGTTAACAATCCAAACTGTGTTAGGTTAGTCATCAATTCCGTTATTCTCGTGATTTTGATAAATGATTCAGCAGTATTACTATTGGGAGAAATTAGACACTGGTCCCTCGTGGGTTTTAAAGGGTGAAAGTACAAAGGTCTGACATTCGGTTACTCATGAGGAATCGGAATTTTTCTTTGTCTCACGCTCGTCACAAGACGGAAAAAATCTTCCTTTGCAGCATCACACGACTCTCATATGATGGCAATTATATTTCGCTCTCTCTCTCTTCGCCTTGGAAAAAAATCGGAAAGTTAAGTATAATATTTCCGGGGAAAAACGATAAAACTAAGCTCTTGCCGAATATCTGCTCTTAGCCGATTTTATACGGAGAGGAAATATTTGCGCTAAATGTGAGAAAGAGATACTGGTTGCTACTTTCCTTTAGGCTTGATCAAAGAATTACACGAAAAGTGACTGAAATAAGACCTCATTTTCGCCTTTGTCTTAGACGCAATTTTTAAACGCAGTGTTTTGTGCCGGAGCATGTTATGTATCAAGGAACACAAAGCATGTTTAAACATCTAAAGTTATACACGTGCAACCTTTGTTGGATCACAAAGAAAGAACAGATACTCAGTTAATAATTGAAAAACATCGCTTTCGTCTTTGTTCCACCTTCACCGACGCCGCCAAGTTAAAAGAAAAAACTCAGCTGTCCGTTGCTGCAATTCATACTTCCAACGGTCTCCAAAAAAAAGTCTTCGGTACATACAAAGATCATCGTCTCTTCCTTAAACGTTCAGAGTAAAGGAAAGCGGATTAAACGTTCGACGTGGACGAAATTTTTGGCTCTTCTCGCTTTTTCTCAGTGCTTAAATTAGATTTGACATTTTTCATGCAAACACGTTACAGTGGAGGGGAAGAGGTTTGTATGCAAAAAATGTACCTTTCTATACTGAATTTGATGATTGCTGGTGGACTCAGAAATGTCCGTTTTATCTCTGTAAGAGTACAGGATTGGTTTGGCTTTGATAGAGAGAGATTTTGCTCAACATTGCAGATTGCCTGGCTGTCAACGATTCTACATATTTCGAGAGAACTTTAATCCGTCTGTAACATCTTTGGGTAAATTTTAATGTAGAAACTTAAACAGCATTTACTTAGAGGAAAAATTTGGAAACAATGGCTCAGTTCCCTACGATAACTTTGGAATCGCGCATTTTCTTGGGTTTCAGGACACTGTTCTTTAATTACAGTAAAGCTGTAAGCCGTAATTGGTAATTAGCATATTAAATAACTTGTGTAAACTGTGTACTAGTCACTTGAGGATACTTTTGTTAGAGCTCTTGTATGAATCACGACTCCACTTCATTTCCTTAAATCACCTACACACAGCGTTACAATAGCATTTCTCTCCTAGAGTTGAATTATATTGGGCTGGAACCTCAGCAGCCTTTTTGAAGGATTTTCTTGAGGGAGTCTCCTATTAACATGAACCCCAAATCTTGCTGATGAAAGAGTCTAATAAATGTGCGCCTTTGTTTTCAGAGCCTAAACAAAGTTTGGCGCGGACAGCTGGACACATGGATTTAAGTCATCTTCCTCTTGTGGGCCAGTCATTTTCAGTTCCTCGAGATGTTTTCGAAGAGGCTCTGGCATCTCAAATTTCCACTTCAATATCGACGTCTTCTGCGCCTGAAATCACGCGTTCGTTTCTGGATAATCCAGATGCTGCTGCCACTTGTGACATGTATCATTGTATTCCACGGCGTCGTCGATCGTCCGGTGAATCCTCCATCAGCGAGCTCAGTGAATGTGAAGCTAAGCGTCCTCGCCTATCAGCAGCTAACTCCGTCTCCGCGCAAATATACGCTCAGGAAATTGAAAGCCAAAATCATAAACGCGAAATTATGAAGCAATTGGTTTTTGAAAGAATTGATCGCACGAAAGAGAACATAGCGTGGATGCTGAAAATGCAGCGTATGCGGGAACTCCTCCAATACTATGAGATGTCTGAGAATGGTTCAACCCTCAGTCATAAAAGCAACAGTCAAGGAAATGAACTTCACCATCGCTCTCCTTCGACGCTAACTAATGGAGAACACCATAAAATTGCTATTTCAGCCCGTGAAGAGAATTACCCCAGATCAGTCACACTGAAAAGAATTTGCCATGCTTCAGATACAATCCAAAGAGCCACCAGCCATGGAAACCGTCTAAAGCATTTGCCACCGTCTGCACAGAGAATGCGCCGGGTACCTGGCATCAACGTGGTATTGGATCCGACCCTGCAAGGCGAAAAAAACGTTGGTTACTTTTGCAAGTCTTACGATGGACTTGCATGGGACCACCAAGCCCTTCCTAGAATTGTTGCTGTCCATTCTGTGACAAAACACACATCGGTAAACGCTAGGAATATCGAACGTGCCCCTCCTTCCAAACCAGCTGCTGCTACGCAGATCCCATCAACGTCCAACACTGTTGGAATGTCAGATTATTCAGCAAAGTCTCAGGAAACCCACATGCATCCCCTAGTCACGAGCCTGAAGTGTGACACCAGAAGAGGAACTTCTGTTTCTTCTGACTCACAAGATGACGATGAAGTTGAAGTCAAAGTTGTAAGAGTTTGTCCTCGGGAGACTCACCGTTCAAGAAGCGTACAAAAGAGATGCCGGGAAACAAGCATTACAAATCGCACTGAATATGCATATAGAGGAATGGAGCGTCCATTAAAAGGAGGATGTGTAAATGGTCCGTTCATTGCAAAGCCTACTGTCGCTGCAGGCTACGGTAACCACTCAGGACATTCTTATGGATGCAATAGCCGGATAGAAAGAATAAGTGCTGATTCAGAGATTTACCTAAGTGGTCCTCCCTCGTACCTACCAGTTCTTGACAATTCAGAGATAGACAAACTGAAGAAACAGAAAGCACCGCCACCCGTGTCGCCAGGGGAACGTCGAAACCGCAGTCCCGATTCACCAAAGCTTACAAAAACTATACCAGAGATCAGTGCAAAAATCATCGAGACTCGAGAGAGGATTAAAACTGAAACCATCAAGTGGAAGAAGATGTTACTGTATAAAGTGGAGAAGCGATTGATTCGGAAGTTAAGACGGGTTGAGAAAGAAACGGGAGAGAAGACGGAGGTGGAGGAGTTGCGAGAGGAGGAGGCTCCAGCGCCAGTTCCAAAGAAGGAGAGGAGGCGAAAGGGCCAAAGCTTGCAAAAACGAAGCACCACTATGGATAGCGTGACAGATAGCGTGACGGATGAGGATGAGGCCAAAAAATCCCCTGGGAGTGACGCTTTAGGACATTTTTCTGAAGCAAAAGAAAGAAAAGAGTCGGTTGATGTGCGAGTGGAAGCTGCACGAGACCAAGAACACGAGCAAGAGGGCATTTTTCCATCGACTGAAAGTAAAAAAGAAGAAAAAGCCGCAATGGCCAGCTACTACCATAATGCTGAAGACCCCAGTAAGAAAAACGGAGACTGCGTGACAAACGAACCATGTCAAGAAACAAATCCCTCTATCAACCTAGAGAGATTGTGTACAAAGAAAGGCTTGAATATTGGAGGCGCTGAACACGTCCAAACTTGCACAGCGGAAAGGAACACGGACTCTCGATTATCAGAATTCAGACATGATAAACAGAAGTCGCCACAAGATTTCCAAACTGAAAAGTATTGCGTGACAAAGAATTTGAACTCATTACACAGTGGACTTCAAAATTGTACAAAAGAAGTACGTAAAACGAAAGCAGCGGCTGTAAGTTGCGAGAGAAATATATGGGCAGTACTTAGAGGGGACGGAAATTTCTGATATTATATTGTAATTGAACGCTTTCGAGAACTTTTTCAAATAATTTCGTGCAGAAGGAACAGGATTACGTTAGGTTATGGTGCAAATTTTTGACTGAAAATAAGACATACAAAGGAGACGATGATATCAACATATATTTATTTCAATCATAAAATTTTTAATTTCCCTGATTGTGATCGGTTTAAAAATTCTCATTTCCGGCACCAATTCACTTGCCAAGTTGTTATCGGGCAGTTTATCATCGAACAGTTTAGTAAGCCAATAACATTCAAAGTTGTAGTTTAAATCAACCAATCGCATTTAAAGTCGTAGCTTATATCAACCAATCACAACACTAAACAATTTAAGTCTCCTTTGTCAGTCTTTTGATACAAATTGTAAAAAAATGAGGGAAAAAATGAGAGAGGTTTGCAAGTGATCGGTCGAGACCCTAGCGGCTGAAAAATGATGCCCAATTTATTGAGATTGATCCATCGACATTGTTCGTCTTAAATCCTACAGGTTTTTCTACGAATGTGAGTTTTACAACTTCAAATATTTATGATCAATAAATCATGTTTAATTTCAACTTTCGCATCGCCATCGCTGTGACAACCTTGAACTCGGGTGTATTTTAAGTTTGGTTTGAGACATAGGTATCAAACTGTAGAAATCATCAAGTTAAAACTGTTGAGCCCGCATTCTTTATTGTTGTGACAACTGAAATTTTTCGAAATACAATCGATGTGCTGTACAACCCCCCTGGCAAGCAGGAGCAAAATTGCGGTTTGTCATACTATTCCTTAATTAAAAAATATTAGTTGCTAAAAAGCAAAAGTTTTTGGTACAAAAAAAGTTTTTTGAGTCCATAAAAATGACAAGGTGGATGAAGATTCTACAGACCCCCATTGGTATCAGTATGTTAGCGATACAGAGCTCATGGCCTCATTACAGACCGTTGTACAAAGCCAATGAACCTTATAAAAGTACTTTACTTAAAAGTACTTAAGATTCCATATCGGATTTAATCATGACAAACTGTCAGTGCTTAATCAATAGGTTTTATTAAAATGGTTTGTCATTTCCTGATTGAATAGATACCTTTTCTCGTTTAAATGTTATAAATCAATTCCTACAATTCAAACCAAGGGCATAAATTTCATTCCTCCATAGAGAATTTTATATTCTATTTAAAAAATTCTTCTCTCTCCTGAGTGTTAGGAATCCCTCTCAGTTGGGAGAACCGCTAGCATTCAAACCAAGGCCTTGTATTTCATTCCCCGTAAAATTATTTCTTTTTCTGTTTGTTCCACTTTTTCTTTCGTAGCAGAGGACTTCTTGGATTTTTCTTCACACTGCTCAATTGAACAGCACACGAATCGCAGAAATACAATAAATGCAATCAAGGCTACAAGGCAGGCTAGAAGAATCAGGCCATCTATGTTAGGATTGACTTGTTTTTTACCAGAGTCGTTTTCATCTTTCCTCGTATCGCTTCCCTTGGTATCTTGTATCTCCATGTTCGTACCGTCCATCGCACCGATTTCTCCCTGGTCTTTTCCAAGCGAAGTAACTCGTTTTCTACTCTTCACCGCGGGTACATTGTCTTCATCAATATTGCCATCTTCACTCCAAGCTGCATTTGGAGCTGTTAACAACAAAAACATTGTGGCAAGAAATAATTTAAAATACGCCATCAGTCTTGTGCATGTACTTACACGATACCAAGGAATTACATACGTTGGTAGAGTAATCATTGGTTTGATTTGTCCGTGCAAAGCGTGTAAAGCTGCCACAGATTCGTCAATATTTTATTCAATGGCTTGCGGGTAATTTTTTTCTTGAAAAAAAAAAAAGAGAAAATAAATGTAAAAGTGTGTTGAATTTACGACCTCAGGGAAAATTAATTAATGGAAGTTATAATCCTGATGTAATGCAAAGTTAATTTTCCTGTGCCCCAGGGTTGTTCTGAGCAACAAACAAAGAAAGCTAGCACTTCCAATGTTACCATCAAATTAAACTTCCGATAAAATCAAATATCGAAAGCTCTCTACATATTACAAATGCACTTGAAATTACACAAGTTGCGGCAGTTTTTGACGCCTGCAAGGCTGTAAGCAGCTGGCCCCTGAACTAATACATTACTATGCTCTTACTGTAAGAATGACTCTACTCTTTTTCTCGTCCTTGTGGCTCTTTAGGTCGCTCAGCACTCGCATTAATTCCTGCAGCTTTGTGAGTTCGACTAATGAAGCCCTAGCTAAATGATCAAATATTTTTGCCCAACATCATATTTAACTGTTCAGCCGCCTATCTTGACATTGCATTTAGATAGTTTACCATTTTTGATCTACAGATCAAACCTTTTCACTAAATTTCTGCTTCACGAAAGAATGTTTGAGCGCATAGCCACCCCCATATTGTGGGCGACAAACTCGCTGTTGACCGAAAACTTTTGCTCTTCAGCCGGATCTTAACAAAAATCCTTTGTGAGGACATGGAAAAGGAAAGAAAGAAGAAAAAAAGGCAGTTTTCACAAATTAGAATACTTGCTCAGCCGACTTAAAACAACTATAAAAATCAGCCGAACAAGCGAGCAGCAAAGATTTTTTACATGCAAAAAGATCAATTTCGCATAGACTCTAAGGTTTTTTTTTGTCCCGCCAGCAATCGATGTTCAGTGTACAATGGTATTTTCCGATCTAGGCAAGCCACTCAAAAAAGAAACCCTTTCGTATCGGTTTGCATCGGAGACGAAGATTTCTCGAGGGCAATTTCAACCAAACCGTCGGACAATCGTCTAATGTTCGGGCTATTGCCTTCGATTGTTGACTTTAGGCAGGTCACCCGTTGTTTTTAAGACTGGTTTAACGTCACGGTACGATTGCTTTCATGCAAATTCTCATACATTCAAATTAAAAGAACTAGAATTCACGCTTAAACTTGACAACAACTCAAGACTTTGGTGAAGAGTCTCCTTTGAGAGTGATGGAATTCTAGATTGAACTTTGTAGCTCGTTTTTCTAGGGTGGTTGACAACGAATGGATTGTATTATCAAAATGGAATTTGGTGGTTCATCCATTTAACCTACGTCATTGGTATTGTTTGGCTTCTAATCAATTTTAATGTATTGTTTACCAAGAGAAAAGGGGGAAAACTTGTGAGAAAAATTGGAAAAGATTATTATACCTCTGAAACTATCAAGAGCTTGGTTCTTTCTTGGGAGAGTAAATTGACGAAAGTGACTTGGCAACTGTTGGGAATACGAAAAAGTTAGGAAGAAGATGGCGATCTTTCGAATGAGACAGTGAAGTCTAAACCATTGTGGTGTTATACTTCGTCAAGATTTTGTGATCGTAGATTATCGTTTGGATTGGATCGGCGTAACACAGACAAACCAAATAGGAAAATATGGACAATCTTTCATTTTTCGTGACCATCATAGTTTTAGCGCTAGCCTTCTTAGTAACGACACCAGCAAGAGGTAAGCCATGGAGACGTACTTAGATTTTTAACCTTATAATCTATATGGCGATCGTAATGTTCTTATAAAATGGTTTTTACCCCCGCTGCTAAATATAGAGGGTGATGGTTTCGTCCCAAATCGCGGGAATTCGACGAATATATCTTTAAACACTTTCATTCAAGCAAATGTAACATTATTTACTGATTTTCCAGTGTTGGTCTGACAGGTTTAAGGTCTGATACATTTAAAAGCAGTGAAATTAATTGCACACAAGTCCGATAAATTTTCGCTGCAGGTCACCATTTCGGGGCATATATCTCTCTATACGTTAGGCCTCGGAAATTTATGTTACTGAAGTTGTACTTAAGTGAAATGTGTTGGTGTGAAAGTTTAATGACCTTGAAACTTAAGATTTTTCTTTTGCTTTCATCAACAGGAAATGACTCATTCTTTGGTCTTTATAGAAGTAAGTGAATGAGATTATATAAAGTGTTTAACATAAAAGACGATAATTGTCAATTCGATAAGTAAAACTGGTTCATTTCCTTTTCATGTAAGCTACACGTTCTGGTCCTCCTCTCGCCATAAATCAAAACCCCGTATGTAGAAAAGCCCAGCTTCTGCACAGCGACGTGGTACAAAATGCTACCCTGGAAGGTCAGCTGCACGCTGGGAATTTCACGTTTCTCGGTGCAGTCAAAGACATGGAAGAATGTATGTCGTTATGTTGCGCCAGTAAACGTTGTCAACTGGCATATATGGATAATGCCAAATGTTATGGCGTCAAGTGCTACAGCGAAGAATTGTGCAAGATAACAACTGGTATCTCAACAAATGACGTCAAGATATCTCTTATGGTCAGAAACGATATAAATAGAAAAGGTAAGAATTTCATTTGTCGTGATTATTAGGAAAGAAAAATGAAAAAAAATGAAAATAAAATTAATATACAATTTGTACGTTCAAGAAGTGACTAGCATCTAATTTGTCTTTTCAATATCAGTACTGAATCAAATATTCAGGTTATAAGAATTAAGGAAGTGAATAAATTCTCCTGTATCGATTTTCTAGGAAATGAATAGATTAGAGTATAGAGAATATACATTCTGATGTTAGTTGTGAAGGCTTAAACGTTGACATACTGTGCAGCAAACAAATAACGTTGAGAAAAAACTTTCATCTAAAGAATATTGTTTGATTTGACACCAAACTCTCGTTAGCAACATTAGGCAAATGAACTATAACCAGAACGGAGAATTGAGTCTTTGATATTTGGGGGTAGAAAAATGCTATATGTACCACTAAAGGATATCCTTTCTGTTACATACTGAGTCCTCACTGATTCCTATCAACTTTTTTTTTTATCTACAGCTTACGTTACAGCATACATTGTCGTGGTAGTTGTAGCGTTTGGAGCCGCCGTTTCTGGTACAGTTTGGGCCGTCTTTATTTTTGTCAGAAGGTAATTTCGGCTAGTATGTAATATTTTTTTCTTTTTTTTTTTTGTACTTTAGAAGTCACCTAATAGAGTTTCGCTTCACTCTTGCAATTCTTAAAAGTTTGTTAGAAATAAACTTTGAAGCAACAGGAAATATATGTTCATGCTAGGATTAAGGAGCAAGGAGAAATAAGGATGTAAATTCACGTCAAATACTCTGATGTCTCCCCCACAAGATGTAAAGTTCCTCGTTAACTATACAACTGTGCGCCAATATTTTTTAGGGACCGGTCATCATTTATCACTACGGGTGGGGTAGGTTGAAGGTTTTTAAATACCCACAATAAAATTTATCCGATCCCCTTTTAGGCTCTTTAATATTCTTATGTTCCCCCTTGTTTCAGTCAATTTTCTAGTCCCTCTTTGTACACCGTAAGCGACAATTTAATCCCCAGCTGCTCCCCCTGAAAACCGTGTAATCCTCTTAAAATTCTCCAACAACCCCTCCCAACTCCCTCCCCTCCCCAGGCGAAGAATGCTAACCGGTCTTTACTTCATTACGGTCTGACATCAGATATCGAGAGACTGGTGGAACAAAATCAAAAGAGGATGAGGGCGAAGAAGGAGACATGAATGCCGAGCCTAAAGTGAGTGTTCTTTAATTTATTTGTTTTAATTTGTCAGTTTGTTAGTTTTTTTGACGAATCAAGTGTTCCGTACATGGTTAAATCATGGCGAAGGCTGGAATATGAAGGTTTCGACGAAGTTTTCTTCAATTTTAGACGGAACAGATGTCGTCATGGTCACTCTCTTTCTATGAATATAATTTCTGCTCTTTGTTAAAGCTTTCTTCATTGGCAAAACATATCCCCACGATATTCGCCATTATATGACTTTTAAACATCAGATCTAGAGTACCCAAACAAACGAAGCGGGAAAACAGTCCATTGGAGACTATTCTTTTAATAACCTAACCTAGGTATCCTTCTGCTGGAAAAGTGCAAACGAAAGATAAAATGCAAGCTACTAAAGTTTATAAACGTTAGGAGGTTGATAGCGAAACAAGTCGCTTGATCATTCTAGTATCTTTTAGGGTCAGGATTGGCCATTATGTGACAAGTTTTTCTCGTGTTCTTTTTCCATAGGTTTACTGACTTATAGATAGAGGAAACTGAAGAAAAACTTCAAATCCAGAGGAACAATTAGACGTAATTTAGTAAAAGAGTCAAGGCTTCCTAAAGAGCCGACACTGTCATGTTGTTGTGATTCATGACGGCAACAGTATTATCAAGAAAATTAGAAATAATATACCGACGAGGTCTGATATTTCGATATGATACGAGAAGATCTCTTGACCAAGGAAATGAAGGGTGGTTCAGCTACCTGTTAACCAAGTTTCGAAAACTTAATTTGAAATCAAGAAACACTTTCAGATATATGAGACGCGATCAATTCTTTAGTGAAGGATTGAGAAAAAATGGTGCTTGAATATCTTCCAAATTTGACAGTTTTGATACCGGTTTTATTGCAAAGAGCGAGGGAAACATGAGCCATAGACCTTTGCTGCCAACTGAGTTTGTTTCTTCCTATCGACGAATCAATTAAGGCTATATTAGTCGTCAACTAAATGTAATAAAGCAAACCAATATTTCAAACATATATAAATGTTTGTAGAGATGGTCATTACCTTCGATTGAAATCTTTATAAGAGGTGACCAGTCTTTATAGGTCAAGCTGAAAGTTGACAATCTCTCCACACGCAGAATGTTTTCAACATTGCTGATCGTAGCAGGTATCTTATCTGATAAGTCACTTGATGGAATGCCAGTCGTTCAGTCAATCAGACACTTAGTAGAAAATCAGACAGGACAGGTAGAAAGTTATGGTGCAATAATGTCATTTAATTGAGATTAAAAAAAAAAAGTTAAGGAGAAAAAAACCCGATAAAATAGGCTATTTGGATTGAATTTATTTACAGGATTGATTTTTACAGAACAATGTTTCTCTGACGAATTGCTTAACCAATGACTGTCTCAAATTACGCTTCGCTAATACAGTCATTCAGTCGTACATCACTTGTAACAAGTAGATCAGGTGAAACTATTTCACCTGTTTTATATGTTATGATCATGATGGTCACCATCACCCAGATGTTCGGGTCGTCGTTCGGTTTCTGTTCGGATGACTTTCGGTTTCCATATTGTTGCTTGGATCGTCCCACTGTCTACGTGAAGCTACAATACACAGCGGAGCTAAAAATTGAGTGTTGTAAACCAGAACCACCGTAAAATCTATAGCCAATCAAATCAAAGATAAATTTCTTTGAGAATCAATGGGTGTTCGATTTAAAAACGTGAAAATTGCCATAAGCGCGGGAAATCGCCTCAGTGTGTCCAGGGCAAAATTTTTTTCAGTTTTGCATCGGAAAGGATTGTACGAAGTTTCTGGACTAATCAGAGAACAAGGTAAGGCCATACCGAAAATATCCTGGATTACTTTTGACACGCAATATTGAACGGTGTTCTTACAGTAATTTAAAATCAATCTGAACTACTATTGATGCGTTTGTGAAATATCTCGATTTCTGAAGAACACCTGACCATACCCTTTGAAACCAATATTCGCTCAGGCACTTGAGTTAATTCAATTAAACTAAGACAGAAGTAAAGCAATTTCCAATTGAATCTAGAGAAAAATCCGAAATTATTTTGGCTTTGCTTTACTTTCGTCATGTGATTGGCTCAGAAAAATAGCGCAACTTTCTTACTCGATCAGATTCAAAATTAAAACAATCCTAACAGTCTTTTCTCGCGCTTCAAGCAGCTCGCTTCTTTTCACTTTCAGTTCTCATTGGCTAATGATAATGTAAAACTTTGTTCTGATCGACCTTTTGGAATTTCTTTAGTTTCGGTTTTTTAACACTGAATTAAAAACTGCTCTGATAGAAGTAATTGCGACCAACTTACTTAATATATCATATCTTCTGCAAAGTCTTAATTACGTTACTTTTGATGTATCTTCGCTATATACTGATATTCTATGTACGTATATACAATCAACTAAAGTTTGGCTTGATATAAGAAATTTGGTCCTAGATTGGGAAAAATGCATAGAATAAATAGTCACTGTTTATTTACACTGTTGACAGACAGTTTCCCGTCTGTGAACAGTAAAAAAAAATATAAGTTTACCATTAAATGTGTTTCTTTTGACTGATAATATGTGAAAAAAGGCAAACATTTTTGGCTACAGTTAGCCTCGATGACGACATCTATCAGGGGCGAGAATCTCTGGCTGTGGTTCCTTCCTTTCAACTAAATCACGGCCTTAGAATCATAAACTACTTATTTCAAATACAATTCAGCATTTTTAGCCACTCTATGAGTTTCATACGCGGTACACGTAACGTCTAACTATAATGGTTAGCCGCAATAATTGTGTCCCCCAAGCTTAGAATCTCGCCCCAATGTTACTTTTGCGGTGCCTATCATTTAACTAAATTGAGGCCTTAAAGTTCGGTTAAATTCAATTCTACTTACACCGCACCATTTTCCCGTGAGAGCCGGCTTAAGTCTATGTTGTTATGTAGCACATTTCATAATGGCTTTTTTCCATAGTTTTTATGAATCCACAAAGCTTTGAATTTCTCACGCTCATAACACTGAAAGAAAATTTTTTTCTTATTTACCAGCCCATGAAATTGGCTCGAAATGAAAGTTGTTGCGAGCCAGTTTTATTAGATATGATATGTTAGATATGGTTAGATAGATACACACGCATTGCGCTCCTTTACAAGGAGAAACGAAAATTTTGTTACAAGAGCTGAACAGCTGTTGAGATTTCATTTGCTTTAAAATGATTCTTTAGTCTACAATTTTGATTTATGAATAATTTTTCAAAGTACAAATTTCTTGTAGATTTGTTTAGCATGTGCCTCCACATCAGCGTGTTTAAAAAACAAGGTAAATCGCATCGCATTATTTGATTCGTTTACTTTTTCCCTTGGAGTTTTCTGTTAAGTATTGATGTGCACTTGAGCCACTTTATGAGTTTCACACGCGGTACATGTAACGTCTAACTAAAGTGAAACATTTTTCCCAGTAAACCAATATAATTTGTTCCCTAAGCTTAGAATCTCGCCCCGTTGTTACTTTTGCGGTGCCTGTCATTCAACTAAATTGTGGCATTAAAGTTCCGTTAAATTCAATTCTACCTACATTACTGTGCTACTTTACCGCACAATTTTCCTGAGAGTGCTGGCTTGTATCAATGTTGTTATGTAATACTTTGCGCATTACATAATGACATTTGTCCATAGTTGTTGTGAATCCACAAAACTTTGAATTTCTCATGCTCATAAGACTGAAGGTAATTTTTTTTCTTATTTGCCAGCCCATGAAAAGACCTAAAAGAATCGGCTCAAAATAAAAGTTGTTGCGAGCCAGTTTTGTTTCATAGAGTCATATATATACAAAGTTCATGGCGCTTATTTACAAGGAGAAGCGAAAATTTTGGCACTAGAGTTGAACAGCTGTTGAGATTTCATTTGTCGTAAAGGAATTCTTTCGTCTACAATTTCGAATTATGAAAAATTTTTGAAAGTGCAAACTTCTTGTAGATTTGTTTAGCATGTACCTCCACGTCAGCCTGTTTACAAAACAAAGTAAATCGCATCGCATTATTTGATTCATAAACTTTTGCCTTGGAGTTTTTGTTCAACATTGACGCGCACTGAAATGAATTAGTCTTTTTCAACTACGTTGAATTATGATTACTGACCAAAGCAGTCAAGACGTAATAGCAGAGAAAGAAATGCGACAAAAAAATCTTGTCGCGCTCATTATTAACTTTGTAACAAATAAATAACGAATGATCCTGACGGATGAACTGAAATGGAGAAAGTTGTAGGTATTGAGGCTTGAAGAGAATTGGGAGTCGACAGAGTTCGAACCCATGCGTCTCAGATACTAGTTAGGCGCGACTACCAACTACGAACTCAACTGAAACCGATGGTGGAATAAAAAGTCTCTTATGTAAAGAAATCTGACCCAATCATTTCTCAAAATCCGACCTTGTGAGAAGAGCAACTGAAAGTCGACTTTTTTCATTTATAACATACACAAATTTTGATCTGCGTAATTTCAGATTGGCCGGACTGTTTTTCTTCATGGGTCACAGCTGTTTTGCTTTTCTACGTTCCTACAGGGTGTGCGACTGCAATTGTTTTCAGAGTTCCAGATCGATCCCAAAGGTCATAAGACTAAGAAGCCTTTGGAACCAACGATAAAGAGATGACCACTGTCTAGTCCAAGTAAGGAGAAGGTTCTTCAATCATGCTGCTCAGCTACCGTTCCAACTGGATTACCTCGACAGGCAATTCTCGCAGCAACGGGCGGGTGGATGGGTTGAGGTTTCCTGAGTCGTAGTATCTTTAGAACAGCATTCCTAAAACGGCGGTCTCGATACCAGTAAATTAAGGGAGTCAGCAAGGAATTCAATTGCACTAGCGTCTCTGTCAGACGGAAAGCTGAGTTCGACTGTAGTGGGGCCGGGAATATTTCTGAAAAAATGGAGATCAACAGTTTTGGAAGGAAGGATGAAAAGATAACAAGCGTGAGCAGTCCACATATCTTGGCCGTCTTCGATTCCATTTTCTGGTTTG